CAGGGTCGTTCAGACCCTCCTCAGTGTCAGGGGCTGGGGTCAGCTGCTCCCCGTGGCACTGCAGGCTGTGAAACCACACTGGTGTCCCCACTGTGCTGCCATGGCCCTGGGTGGGGTGCTGGGACAGCGAGTGACATGTGGGAACTCTCCTGCCATCGCCTCACCTTACAAAGCCCATGGAGACCTGAGCATCTGCTCCAGGCTGGGCTCTGTTGGTTGGGGTGTAGCTGTCAGACAGCTGTGTGGGACTGTGTCCTAGGACACCCACCCCTGCAGCATTGCCCCCTGAGGTGTGCAGATGCCGTGCTGAGCCCTCGAGGTGTGCTGAGCCCCCCGAGGTGTGCAGATGCAGGGCTGAGCTCGCCGTGCTGCGCTCCCGGAGCCGCCGCGGCTCCGCCCTACCTGCGGGGGCACAATCGGCTCTTTCATTCGCAGCCGTCCCGGGGGGCTGTGTGGAAAATGAATGGAAAAGGTAACTGGCTGTTCTAGCCTGTCCGTTAACATCCACCAGAAAAAACGTGTCAGATTTTTCCTTGACACCGTGGGCTGGGAGGGAGGGAGGAAGGACTCTTAAAGCTGCAGAGCCTGCCCTGCCCTCCCGGGAAGGTGCTGCCGTGGGCTGGGGGCAGCTGGCACTGCCTGGGTGAACCGTCTGCTCCCGTCTGCATGTCTTGTCCGGCTTGGCACCTGCTCCCTGCTCTTCTCTGCAGGCTCAATGCTCAGCCTTTGGGCTTTTCTGCAGTTCCAAGTGTGCCAGAGGCTGCTAGGGGTCCCTTGGGGGTCCCGTGGGACCTCGGGGGCTCCTCACCTGCTGGGAGAAGGGGAGTGTGTTCCCTCTGCCTGCCAGTCTGGGGAAGGGGCTGGATCAGGCAAGGCTGTGAATTGGGTGCATAATGTGTGTGAGGCAGCAAAATGTGTGTGCCCCCTGCCACTGGAGGGGCCTGGCCATCCTCTCCTCACCCTGGGCAGTGTTCAGCCAGAGCAATCCCTCCCCAGGGCTGCTCCTGCCAGGCAGCAGCCCCTCTCTCTCTGCCTTAGCTGGGTTTGTTAAGGCTTTGGTGAGGTTTTCTCTGAGTTTCTGCTGTGTGAGTGTAGCTGTCCCCTTCAGTTTATGTTCCTGTCCTTCCACTTAGTGGGCAGGCGTGGATGTGCCTTTGGCAGGACAGTGTCCTCGCTGCTGTGACGTCTGTGGCAGTGCGTGCAGGGCTCCTGCCTGCCAGGATGGTGCTGAGCTCCCCCTGTTTCCATGGGCTGTCCTGCCAAGCACGCCTTTCCTCAGGTGGAGAAGTCTCAGCTCTCATGCCTGGAGCTTGGAAAAAGAGCCCAGTGATGAGGCCTGAGCTCCTGGGAAAGCTGGGAGAGCCTCTGGAGCTGCCAGCCAGGCTGCTCCGGGCGGGTCCAGCCTGGCTCTGGGCTCACAGCCCTGGCAGCGCCCGCGGGGCCTCTCCCCTGGCAGGCATCGCCCTCCGCCTTCCGAGGGGATTGGCCGGGGAGGTGGGTCAGAACGGGCTCAACCACCTTCCAGTCTCCTTCCAAGAGCTGAGCTGCTCCCAGGGCTCCTGTAAAACAGCTCGTTTCAGTGGCACAGCCCCTGCCCTGGCCCCCAAGCTGCTGCCTCCAAGGCACCTCTTTGTTCCCAGGCTCCAGGAGCTCCAAGGGGCGATCCCGGCCAGCCCTGCACCATAGCCTGTGTGGGAGCCCATACTGGGCCTTACTGGTGGGTGCCAGTGGCACCACATGCCAGGGCTTTACAGATCCCACAGAGTCCCCACTGCAGAGCTGCTGGAGCTGTGGCCTCCTGGGACCCTCCAGGAAGCCAGCAGCAATTCCCAGTCTCTGGAAAGCTGTAGCTCTGCCCTGTTATGGCTATGATGCCAAAGGAGCTGTGCTGTTTGCCCTGGCAGCTCTGTGAACTGTCTTGCTGTGGTTGGGCTGGAATCCCCTAAAACTGGTCATCCAGCCAATGGGTCACTGTGGGTGTCAGGCAGTGCCCACCCTGTGTCACCTTTCAGAGGAAAGAAGCAGAAGTCTGAGGCCCTCCTGGTTATCCCTGGATATAAAAGGAGTGGGACACGGTTGTCTTCTTGCTCATGGCTGGGACAGCAGCACAGGCAAAACTTCCCACTGCCCATGGGACAGTAAAGATTATCCCTTCCCCTAAACTCTGGGTTCTTCCTTGGTTTGGGAATGGCTGTGGAAGGTTTAATTTTCCCCTGCTTCTTCCTAGAGGGAACTGTAGCCATTTGGCTGTGGGAATCCACAAAGGCCAAGCCAGTCCTCACCTGCTCAGCACCAAGGAGCTCTGATCCATCCCAGAGAAAACCTGGACAATCACACGGAGCTGTTGGAACGGGATCTGGCCTTTGCATCCAGTGGGACTGTGCAAAAGGGGTTTAGGGAGCTGAGAGGGTGGGAAGCACTGTCCAGCTGTCTGTCGAGAAATCTTCCTGGATATGTGTGTGAAGATGGAGCTGCTACACACAGGCTCTTCCAGAGGGGCTGCCTGTCCCGTGTGACAGCTCCCTGGTGTGGGACACGTGTGATTCCTGGGGGGGCTGGGGCTCAGCCCGGGCCGTTATCCCGCTGGCTGCTCCCAGCCTCGTTTCGGGGAACCGTAAATCCGCTTAATGGGCTGGGTGGGAATTCCAGCTCACCTCTGCTAAATGGGAGCTCTGATGCTGCGCGCGGGGCGCTGGAAGTAGCTGAACTGAGACCTTATTCAGGCCCAAATCACCCCCCGACCCCCTCCCAAAATCATAATAATCCCTCTGACATGCTGGCAGCCGCCGGGACAGAGGCTGCCTTTGTGCTTGGCCCTGCGGGGGACTCGCCGCTGCCGCAGCAGCAATGTCCCTTTGTGCGTCCCGCACACTGGACGGGGACAGGGAGTGGAAGGTTCTGCCAGTGTTTATTTTCTTTAAAAAAGCTGGAGGGGGTGGAGAGGGGGAGAAGGAAGCCGGCTGGGAGGTTCATGTTCACATCCTCCGCTTGGAGACACCTTGTCTTTGCGCCTCGGCTGGGCGCACGCACAATGAGGGCTTGTGCAGCCCCGGAGCGCGACGTGCGGAGGGGGATGGAGGGACCCCGGAGAACATGCAGAGTCCTAAGGCTTGGAGGAGCTGGGGAGGAACAGGGTCTGGGTTTGTTCTGGCTTTTGGCTGTGCTCAGTTGCATCTTCTGTTTCAGGCTCTTAAAACCGTCTGTGAGCTTAGTTCTCCTTGGAAGCAAGTGGAGAGCAGCTCTGTGAGGCAGAGGGGTGAGATCAGGCTCAGGAAAACCCTTGTTGGATGATGGATGGGTGATAAGTGACAGAGTTGGGCTCCAATCTGTGTGCTGTGCCCTTGTGAGCATATGCCCCTGCCTCCTTGGCACTAAAAAACAGCGACTTTCCTGAGATCCACAAGTGCAGCTTGTCCCACAGCTCTGTCTTCACCCCAGACCCCATGTCACTGGGTTTTGGGGTGCCCTGTGGGATAGAGACCACTGGGAGCAGGAGGTGGTGAGTACCAGTGCAGAATGGCTGGGAGCTAGAGGCATCCATGGGGGTGTGTGTGCTCCCATTCTGCCCCTGCTGGCAGGTACCACACCCCGTCCTGCGTCGCACTGGGACAAAGCAGGTTGCTAACAAATGGTGCCGTTGTGTCATGAGCAATCTGTGTATAATGAAAATATTATACGAGTAAATGAGTCAGGAAGTGTCTGGGCCTGTGTCCCAGGCTGGCAGGGCCAGGTTTTTCTGGCCTTTCATAGCAGAGCTGGGTGTTTCGCTCCAGCAGGCGGTGCAGTGATGGGGTGGGTGCTGAGAGCTGTGCTGTGTCCCTATCACCCAGGGACCAGCCCTGCCTGCCCATGGGTGCTGAGGGATGTGCTGTGCCCCATTGGCCCTGGGGACCAGCAAAATCTTGCTGAAGCTGCTGGAGCCGAACTGGCTTACGAGGGAGGGAGGGAGTGGTGCTGGCAGCTGTCCCCAGGAGCCTCCCAGCCCATGCCACCCACTCCAGAATCTTCTGTGAAGACTGTCTGATGGTACAGCAGAGTGTTCCTGCTTGGGGACAGCCCTCTGGGCTGGTTTTGTTCAGTGAAATTGATGCTTGGGAATGTGGATGGCAGAGGGATAGTGGTCACCCTCATGCAAGACCTTTCTTACCCTATGTGTTGTGTTAAACAAACCAAATCCCTTGACTTTCCTACTGGGATCTGAGCTACAGCCCCAGCTTCTGGATCTGTGGCTGATGGCGGTCTCAGGTGTGTCACAGCCAGGGGCCCTGGGGCAGTGTAAGGGGGTGAAGAGACCCTGAAAAAAAACTTCCGCGGGAGTTGGTGTTGTGGCTGGGGGTCCTTGTGCAGCTCTGGACTGGAATGTTGTGTGGAGCCAGCACTGGTGGTGCTGACCCTGAGGGAATGGGCACATTGTTTTGGCACTAGATGATCTATAAGGTCCATTTCAACCCCTTAACCTTCTATGATTCTATGGTGTGGGGAGGCCTGGAGGGGACCAGGGGGCTGACGTGGGCGCTGGGTGGTGGAGCCACCTCCCTCCTGCATGCTCTCCCCAGTGGTGACCGGTGGTCGCCAGCACTGGTGGTGCTGACCCTGAGGGAATGGGCACATTGTTTTGGCACTAGATGATCTATAAGGTCCATTTCAACCCCTTAACCTTCTATGATTCTATGGTGTGGGGAGGCCTGGAGGGGACCAGGGGGCTGACGTGGGCGCTGGGTGGTGGAGCCACCTCCCTCCTGCATGCTCTCCCCAGTGGTGACCGGTGGTCTCTCTCTCCATGTCCCCAGTGGAGAACAGGCAGCTGACCCTGGACCTGCAGACAGAGAACAAAGGCAGCACTGTGTCGGGCGGGGAGCTGACAGTTTTCCTGGACGGGCCAGCGGTGGCTGCGGGCAGCGTGCCCAGCGGCAGTGCCAGCACGGAGGG